TACCTAATTCATGTTCATAAATGAAAAAATATCTAACTAATTTATCTTGAATAAATAAACGACTGAAGAATAAAATTTTCTAATTTTTTGCTTTAATTTTATCAAGTATTGTCATATTCATAACTGAAGATGTCATGCCTAGACTCGTTTTTTTTTCATGAATTGAAAACAAAGAATGTTTAAGAATTAGCATTTCATCATTCGAAAAGAATAAACCAACTAAGCAGAATATTCATAATGAATACACCTCTAAACAAAATCATTTCATTACAAAGAATAAACCTCGAATCATAATCATAAACGAATACAACTTTATTTTAACAAAATACGAAAGACTTCTAAATTTCTACATTTTCAACGGTTATATTCAATGATAAATATACCACTAAGCATAAATGAATTCATACGTCGTTATTTTCTTCAAATTTTCTTGTTGCTACCATACACATAGAAACAAAGAGTGGCGCCCTTGATCATGCTGTCGATTTCCTAACTTACAGTAATCCTTATTCACAATATCAAGCTATTACATTAAACCTGTTCAAAACATCAATCATTAAGGTATAAACGCATGCGGTTATAATACAGTTCTACTCATTGATGATTAAACTCAAACAACCTATTTATAAAATCTGATTTATCAGTTTTGACATTCACTTGAGAGTCTTTTAAATAATCTTGAATGTTTCCTAAAAGTTCTTCACTATCCAAAACACCTTTGATGAACTAGCCACACCATTTTCCTAAATTTAAAAAAACAAATTAATTTATATTACAAAATCACAAAAAAAAAACTCTATTCAGAAATGAACCATGTTACAAGCGGTAATGGAAGATATACAATCAATAATGAACCCAATTGATCGTATCAATAACTTTGAATTTCCATAACAAAATACAACCAACAATCAAATATTTATAATTCATGATCAGGTTCTCCACTTGCAAACAAGATTTTCACAAGGTTGATAACACAAGCAACTAAAGATGCGATAATGAGAAAAAGGGTTGAAATTTTTTTTTTAGTTACATGCACTATGAAGAATCGTAGATGCACGAATCGATCTCTTTTCCTACACAGAATTAATGATTTAAAACAAGTAAAAATCAATTAGAAAGCAAAGAGTAGATCGAGAATTGAGAAAAACAGCCAAAATTATTTTTATTACCCTTCTCGATCTCTCGTTGAATCCTCTCGAGCTCTCTCCTCCGTTTCCCCTTTTAGAACAAATGAAACCCTACTATAGTTGAAATCGATCGAGATTTAGGGAGGACACAAACGTATACAAGTGATGATGCTTAGACAAGGGAGGAGGGACGATGGTGGCTGCGACATTAGATGATGAAGGTGGACATATTGTGCTCTGTGATGCTAGTCTGCAGAAGATGGATGTGTGCCCTAGATTTACAAAGAGAGATGAAGAGAGTGACGGGAAATTAAAGGAAATATGTGGGTGGTTGAGAAGTTTTAGGAATTAATTAATGTTTCTAAAGCTACAATTACTGTAATACCATTTTCACCATTTAAAAGTTACACTTTAATACCAGTAATTTTAGAATTTACATAAATTGTCCGTTTAATAACAACCTTAGATTTTATTATTTAGAAGTTCTACATATGTTCTCGCGTTCTCAACCTTTTTAGTGTTCTCAATTGATCCCACTCCTATATATATATATATATATATATATATATATATATGTGTGTGTGTGTGTGTGTGTGTGTGTGTGTGTAAACACACACTAGCCGTTTACCCGTGCGAAGCGATGGGTACAAATAATTTCTTTCAACAATTAGTTTTTAGAGACTATTAGTTTTTTTGTGCAAATAGTTTCTACATCTAAACTATTATCAATAAGAGTCATGCTTATGAAAACGAAATCAATAAGAATTAAAAATTAAAAGTTTGGATTCTTTACAAATAGACGTGAACACATGATTTATTTTTTTGCATTATTAATCATGCAACACTTCTTTATACACCACATTTGATGTATAAAATTTACTTTTGTTAAAATTGTTCGTCAGGCTTCACTAATACTTTTTGTGTTGGCACGTGATATTCATCTGAATAATGGCAGATAATATCTGCCCCAACCTGTTTCCTATATGTTACCACTCATTGCAGTCTAGCTACTACCATATTGTGAAGCGATCAATATTTTCTTGGAGGACTTAAAACATTTTAACTTTATAAAAATTTATCCAAACTAACCTTCATAATGTTATAATCGGAGATTTGTTTGCTTTTGTTAATGTTATATTACAAAAAACACAATTAATCAACAAATATCATTACCACTAAAATATACCTTTACAACTAGTACTTTCTATTAGGGTTTAGTTCTACGGTAAATAGACTAAGCTCTTCGATTCTTCTTTTAAAGTTGTTATAAGTTTTAAATCTTAGATGATAAAAAATAAAAGAAATGTTTAGAAATGATGTATGTATTTATGGGAGGGGCTTGTAAAAGTTTAGAAAAATAAAAATAAATTAGTAAACTTTATTTAAAAATAGTTTTTTTCAAAGAATAATGTTTATGATAATTGGTTTTTTCTAAAACATATGTGGAAAAAGGATTAAGTCAAATATTTGTTAACCCATTATTAATGCTCCACGTTTAAATTTATTTATATATTATTAGCTTATAGATAAATAAAATTGTATTAATAGTTGAAACAACAAAATAATAATAATCAGTCATTAGACCTAATATAAAATTAAATATTATACTTATTCTTCTAAGTGAACAAAATTATTAATTTGATTTATGTCCGACATTATCAAATAACGATCAAGTTTTTTTTCCATTATTAGATCTTAATTAATTTTATTACATTGATATATCTAAAAATATTTATCACTAAAAGCTATAAATGAGCTACACTGTGATGACATATAAAAGGTAAGTAAGATCCAAATATTTGAATTTTAATTAGAGCTTCATTTGTACAAACTAATATGCTATTCAAATGATTAACCTGCTACATATTATGCTTGGATTTAAAGTAGAAGTCAGGTAAGAAAGCTATATCCTCTCTCTAAGTGTACATCATTTGCAACACATTGAACAATAGACTACCTTCCTTCCATAGTCTTTCCCTTTTCCCTATACATGTACCCCTCCACAACATTTTTGCAAATACATCCAAAATATCACTGTTACATAAAAAAGTTGTTTAACAGAATACAAACTCGATGTATTGATTTAGAAGAAAAAAATGCACAACCAAGATTCTATACATGCCTTATTATTCCTCAAAATGTTATAATTATCACCATATGCATATATCATTTCATTTACAAGAGGTTAGACACATAATCATTCTCCATGCAGGTCTCCTTATATTACTCAGAATAAAAAAACAAATTGGGGCTTAGCTGTAGTTTAAAAAAGTTATCCCCTCATCCACCTCGTTAACATGCTTAAAGTTGTCTTTGGTTGATCCATTGGAACCATATGGCCCTCATCATGAACCTGTTTCCATTAACCATACAACCCATAAAACACGAATCATAAATATTTCAAAAATAACCCTAAACCCATATATATTTCACGAAATGTAGTTTACCTTGAGGAAAGTGAGTGACCCATGGATTTTAAGTAAACCAGCTTCAGACCAATCAACTTCAAAAGGAACTTCAGCAGATGCACCAAACTCTTCTTACATCTCAATTCCATTGCATGAACCCGTCTTGACTTACCTATTTTATACACAAGTTTAATCAATAAAATATTTAATTAGAAGTTATGGTGGAACATTCAAGTACTTAGTTGATACATCATTATGAAGTTGGATGCAAATTTGCATTCCCTTCTGGATCTCAACATAAATCTCACCTGGGTAACAAATGAAATATGTCATTACCCCTTAAACATTGAAGAAATTGATCATATTACCCTTGACTCAATTAGGATTTAGGGTTTCTATATTCATAGTATATTTTTTTTCATTGAGGAATTTTCACAACCAAATGGTGTTCACAAAGAATAATCGAGTTTAAAATTCATGATTTCCAACCATCAATGTAACCTCGAATATGTGTATCTTGAGTGTAAGAAACAAAAACCTTTTAGCCAAAAGCCATTATCCATGAAATAAAACAACATAAAAACAAAAACCACAAAAAAAAATAAAGAAGCAGAAACCTGTAAAAAAAGTTTAGGTTTGCCGGCCATGGCGTTGATAAAATATCAAGTTCGAGCTTGTAATCCCGTGACACCAAAAATTGAAAATGTTAAACCAAAAACCATAATCAACGGTTGTATAAAAACATATCCAAGAGAAAAAGGAAGCACAAACCAATACATTTAAAACGTAAGTATAAAAATATCAACCATAAATAGGATAAATAACCTACAAAAATATGAAAAACAAAAGAATAGATAACCCTTGTATAATACCCAGGCGATTGCAAAGCTTCAAGGAGATCGTTCTGTGATTAATCTCAATAAAAATGCAAATAAGAAATAAACAGAAAATGGGAATCAAGAGGAACCTTATTAACAACAGAATCATGTGAAAATGTTGCAACTGAGATCGATTGAGGAGTGATGTCCATGATTCGATTCCTTTTTGCCTAGATATAGACGAATGTAGGGAGAGGGCCGAGACTTAGGGCCTGTACATACAAAAAAACACATAGTAGTGATCCGTTAGGATTTTCTTGCGATAGAAAGGAGAGTGTGACATTTTTTTAGAAAAGCTGCGACAATAAATGTGGGTTACCTGTTCCTTGCCCAAATCAGATCCAAGAGGTGTCATTCCAACCCTAAATCAAGCCGACCTCGAGCAGCAAGTGTGCAGCGATGAAATATGTATCATTGTTAAATCAAAAAAACAAATGAAGAGTCCCTTCTTTTTTCTTTTAGCAGGAACAAAAGTTGAATGATCTGATGGCGGTGAGGTTTCGACCAATTATACCCAAAACACCATAAAAATCTAGGTCAAAAATGGTACCAGAGATTAAAACTTCGAAAATAGAAATCAAGGTCAAATGATGAGAGAACAGGAGCATATGCTAGATGTCGTTGGCTGTTGGGGAAAGATGATGGTGGTGATCGGTGGTGAGATGAAGTGCGACGGTGATGAAGGAGGCTTATTTGATGATAGTGAAGGTTAGGTGACGGTAGAGGTTACTCTTGGTGGGTTGTGATGTTTGATATTAGGCATTCGGAGAGATGCGAGAGAAGAGAAAGGCGGAGGCGTTTAGCGGGGACGGTGATGTTTGTTCCTTAATTTAAAGAGTTAAGGTGTCGAAATTGGGTAATTAGAACAATCTGCAATCGAAGGAATTTAAGAAGACGTGGCCGAGATAATTGGGATTCAAGTTTGAATCTAACTAAAACTCCTGAAGTTATGGCATGAATCGGTGAAGTATGATTGAATACTCTAATTCTTATCTTTGACTTTTTCACTTGATTGGATAAGTTTAACATTTCTTATAATGCATAAAATTGTTGTATATGATGTTTTAAGGATTGTACCTCTTAAAATTCAGCATTTTAAGCTAAATGCTTATATATATTATATATATATAATATATATATATTATATATATATATATATATATATATATATATATGATCGAGTATGAACCCAACAAAGTTAAGAACCGCGAGAACAAATCTTGGCTATAAAATTGAAAAAATTAGTGACCGAGTTTTAATAAATTTTATCCTCAAAATATCGCGATATGCTATGATATTTTGGTAAATATTTATCAGATTTTAGGAATTTCGGGAAAAGGTTCAATGTTTTTAGAGAAAAAATTATAAAAAGAAAAGAAAATATTAGAAGAAGGAACATGGAACCTTTTGAATTTGGGAATTTCTAACAAAACCATGAAACCCTTTGTGTGGTTTTGAGAATTTCTAGCAAAGGATGTTTTTGTCTAAATTCTTTAGGAATGGACATGAAACATTTTGAATAGTTCAAGATGTTCCATAATGGGGTAGCAGAATAACTCGGTAAGATTCTATAAGCCATTTGATTGAATCCTGAAGGTGCGTACATAAGTTGAGAGCTTTCAATTCATTTATCAAATTGTGAGACTATCTCGTAGTCCATTCCTCCTGTAACACCACATCTAATGAAGTGTTTGATGAACATGAGGAATCAAACATTATTATATATGATTTAATACACAACGACTTTGAGAACTATACTCTTATCCTATGGGGCTAAATTTTCTTGAGTATGCATTGTGCATTCTCAAATGAGTTCAAGTAAGGAAGGTAATCAAGACACCATAATAGTTTCGGGTTTTGGGTAACATACCTAAAGGCTATCTTGATTGAGAATCTGGAACTGCAAAACCCATGTTTGGCGCACCACTTCCAGAATTCCTAGATTTTTTCATATATGTAGAAAAAAATTTATCTTACTAAACTTCGCGTAATTTTTTTTTTTCCTTCCCCGCAAGAGGCAAATAGGAGATTAATAGACCATTGGATTAACTCAAGAACCACATTTCATATCATCTTCCATAAGTTACTAATACATAATGTGTGGGGGTGGGGGTGGGGGGTTTGCATTTGATATGCAAAGGCGCAACAAAAAACCATCATGTATTCGTATTTCTGACCAATTCTCCAAATTAAACGATGAAATAAAGACTCCATGTCTACATTTAAGAATATGATGTGATGGATATATTGTAAATTAGTTCAACGCCCATAAATTAACATTTTTGGACAATAAAATATAAATCATCAAACCATTTTTGAACCATATCATATTTGAATCATTAAACTTGGAATCATAACATTTTGAATCCTATAATTTGAAGTCCTATTATATCATTTTAAATTATTTGATTTTTAATCATATCATTTCGAATCAAATTAAGTTTTTTTTTTTACCATCCATAAACAAATTTTGGTCCACAATGGATTTTAGATTTGGTTTATGATAGGATTACAAAATTCAAAGCAGCTGGAGCTTTATAAGTTACAATTTCTATAAAATAATAATTATGCAATTTGCGTCTTACACAATTTCCTAATTTAAATTAAAATATGTTTCCAATGCGTTTATATACTTGTATGTACGTTCAAAAAAAAAAAGCTAAGGTTAGCTTTTAGAAATATCGAATGATCAAATAATAAGAAAGAGTGTGGTGGTGGTGTGGGGGTTGTGTTTTCTATTTTGTCTGTTAAGGGCTTAAAATGGAATCACAAAATTAACAAATTCATAAAAGAAATATAATTAATTAACTAAAGGGTTTGGTACTTTCGTTGTGGCTTTTAATATTGAAAAATCTTTTTTTCCAATCACAAATATAAATAAGAAAACAAATAAAACTGTAGGCCATCAAGGGAACAATTTGCAATTAATTTATTCGTTGCAATACCTTCCATCCCCTTCCTCTTCTTATATAAAAACATGGTGATCATAACACTTTCACCAACATCCAACACAAACAAATTAAGCCCTTTTAAAACTCAACATCAAGACCTTAATTCTTTTCGAAAAAAGATTGAATTCTGATGACAGGATCAGGTTCTCCGTGTGGTGCCTGCAAGTTCTTGAGAAGAAAATGTATAAAGGGTTGTGTGTTTGCACCTTATTTTTGCCATGAACAAGGTGCTACTCATTTTGCAGCCATTCATAGGGTTTTTGGTGCAAGTAATGTGTCCAAGCTTCTTGCTCATCTGCCTGTTGGTGATCGTTCAGAAGCTGCGGTTACTATTGCTTATGAAGCTCAAGCTCGGATTCAAGATCCCATTTATGGCTGTGTTTCCCATATTTTCGCACTACAACAACAGGTTTGTAATTCTTAGTTATGCACAGTTGAGTAAGGAAAATCCATGAAAGAGGGAGAAATTTACAACTTCATTACTCCAAATGAAAAAAATTGTAATTTATGATTCTTGATCCTCTGTAATGGCTTGAAAACCTTTATCTTGATATTGATTGTTCCCAACTGAAAACCCTAATCGTATACATGGAAAATAATTAAACTGAAACCCTAATCTTGATCTTGATTATATAGCTAATTTTGATGCCAATTCTTATTTATTTTTGATTTCACAGGTGGTTAGTTTACAATCACAGTTGACTTCTTTAAGGGAACAAGCTTCTCAAAGATCACTTAATGTGCCCATGTATTCAGATAACAATAACCCCACCAATGGAACACACCCTTCTTACCAACAAACGCAAGACATGAAGAATTGGTTTCAACAATCTGGAAATTCATGCATGAACATGCCTCAGTTCGATCCAAGATCCATGAACGATATCATGGACTTCAAGTCCATGGCAGAAAACTATGAGAATTCGCTTCTGAAAGAGGAAGAGGGTTCATTTTCGAGCTTTGAAGAAGGTTCAAGTTACTCCATTGATTCTTTGGACATGCAAATAAGCAGCAACCAGCAGCAATGGGGTTTTAGAGATCATGGTGATCAAGACCTTCAATCGGTTGCTTTCGGTTATAATTATAATTAGTTTCACAAGGGAAATCTAGACTATATTCCGCGCGGATCAAAACCTGTCGACAAAAATCAGTTAGATATATAAATATATTTGAATGAGTGAATTCATCAAGATTGCCGATTTTGTATCGCTATATATGCTCATCAATCTGAGAGACATTCCATTTTGTTGCCACAATCGTTTTTCATCCACATAACGTTTGTTGACGCTGTAGTGCATCGTTTTTGAAACCCCGTCCAATTTAATCATCGAACATTGTTTTTCCTGGATTTTAGGCAAGACAGTTAATATTCAGTGGCTAGGGTTCAGAGGAGGTCATTATGTTAAGATAGCTTAGTTTTTCGATTAGTCACAACAACAATCATTATTGTGTCAGTTCTCTTGAAGTTCTTAGATTTTGGGCATGAGAATGATAGAAAGACGTTTAGGGTTTAAGCTTGATGTTACGGCAGTGCCAATGGAGGTCGTATGCCTGTGGAAGCCGTGTCAAATACCTTTTTTTTTCTTAGATTCAGAACAAAAATATAAATTGTTGTTTTCGACATGATCACACATTCATAATAGAATTCTACTCCCCAATTGTTAGATTTAGAGTCAGGAAGAATGATATGCGCCTAGAGTTTTTGCTTGAGTTTATGGTCATGCGTATTTTAGGTGGAATTATCGATCGGTATTGGTTTTCTTTGTTTATGGCCTAGCTAGTATGCATTTTTCAGTTTATACGTATAACTTTGATGCAGGTACGTTATTTAAACATATATATATGCACTTAATATATATTTCATCACTACAAGGATACTGAAAATTTTGTCTACATATTTCTTTAACAGGATGAAATGAAATGAAAAAGAAAGAAAAGAAAAATAGAAATAATTGAATACTATTGGAATAACAAGATAATAAATAAACTAATTGTATTTTATGATAATATTTAGTTAATTAGTTGGCATGTAACAATGAATGAGTTCTGATGTGAATTTATTTTGTGTGTATATATAATGATTTTTTTTGGAACAACAATTATAATATAATCCTAAACTACTCCTAAATCTATCTATATCTGACTTGAACTTTCAACCTTAATAAAGAAGAACAACACCTGATACCGTTGGGCTTTGATTATATAATGTATTTTTTAAAGGATATTTTTGAATGTTTGACTTCGTTTACTACGAATAAAATGTTATAGTGTAAAATTATAACTAACTTAGTCTATGAAAATATAATCTTATAGATACATAGAAATATATACCCCCTTAATATATATGAGGTTTGATGTTTAGACATGACCCAAATCGTGAGAATAAGCAACAAAAAAGACACTCGGTGAAGACGTCTAAGTATTAATATTCGGTTGATAAATGTAGAATAAGCAACGAAAGAGTCCTCTCCATGGTTATATTTTCAACAAAACTTGTTCACATTTTTTTTTTCTGAAAATCATTGGTCAATTCTTCAAGTTTGCATATCTTTTTTTTCCCTATCTTGAACCCCAAAACTCGTTCTCGTATCATTTCTAATTTTTCCATAGTCTCATGAATAAGACTCGTATCTAATTTCAAAAGAATTAAGAAACAACCATATATGTAGTCTCAAACATAACTTTGATCCAAACTACTCTCACAAACTCCTCTAAAACTGAGATGACTATCTCGATATGATACAAGTAACAATGGAACTCCGGTCTCTTCACCACTTCATTAACATAAAGATTCCAGAACTTATCCAAGGACCATGTTTCATGTGTCGCTAAGAGAAATGCACTTTTGATTATTCTATCAACGATTACCCAAATCATGCATGAACTTTGTTTGTCTTTGGCAATTTCATGGCAAAATCCATTGTAAATTATCTTATTTCCATTGTGGCACAATCAACGACTGCATATATCCATATGGTCTTTGATGTTCGGTTTTGACCAAGGAAAAAGTCAACCACGCTTCAATGTATTTTGCTATGTCAACTTTCATAGTTGGCCACCAATAGAAGCGCTACATCTTGGTTCTTTCGGGACACATTGAGTACCATGATTTTTGAGAATCGTTTAACAACTTCTTGCAAACTTCTCCATTAGGTACCCAAATGCTTCCTTGGAACGTCTTTAGTCAATCTTGATTCACTTCAAATATAACAGATTTTCCCAATTTCTCATTCTTGATATTAATAATTTGAATTCCTTCTTGTCATTTATTCAAGGTATCAATAATTGAAACAACAATTTTCATTCTCAAGGCTGAAACCCTTTTTTTTCCTCCAATTTATTTTCAACTCAATGCGTTCGCTACTTTGTTCCCTTGTCTAGATGATTTAAAATCTCACAATCATCATATTTGAAAACTTCAATCCATCTAATTTGATGCATATTATGATCTTTTTGGGAAAGTAAATACTGCAAACTTTTGTCATCGGAAATTGTTTATATTGCGTCCTATACAAGTAGTCTCTTCAAATTTTAAGTGCATGAACAACCATTACGAGTTCTAAGTCATGGGTGGGATAAGTCAACTCATGTCATTTTAACTGTCGTGAGGTGTACATAATCACCTTGCCTCTTTGGGTAAGAACACAACCCAAACCTGAATTTGAAGTATCACTATAAACTACAATGTCTTTTATCCTATCCAAGCCAAAATGGGTGTTTCACACAATTTCTTTTTTAACTCTTCCAATCATTTTTCTTATGGTTCAATATAAATATACTTTGCAATTTTTTTCGGGTTAGTGCAGTCATCAGACTCGTAATCTTTGAAAAGCTATTAATAAATCCTCGGTAATATCATACTAAACCCAAGAAACTTCATATCTCTTATGGGGTCATAGGAGACTCCCATTTCATAACTGTTTCAATCTTTGTTGGATCAACCTTTATACCTTATTTAGTTTCACCTTGTTAAGTTCCCGATGATTAATATACATTCTCATCATTCCATCTTTGTTTTTCATAAACAAAATCGTTGCTCTCAAGGCAATGTACTAGGTCGTACAAATCTCTTGTCTAAAAATTACTTTAAATTATGTCATTAATTCTTTAATTTTTGGTTGGTGCCAATCTATATAGAGGTTTCGTTGTTGGTGTTCCTCCCAACATTAATTTGACATCCCCAATTTCACGATCCGAAAAAGTCATTTTCTATATGCTTATTTAAATCAGAGTATTCTTTAAAAGATCATATTAATGCGAAATTTGTTCCCAAAATATATTAATGTGAGATAATATTAATATCAAGCATTTCCGAAGAAACATTTTACATTAATATTTAAAAACTTGGGATGTCATAACCGATACAAAAACATAAGAAAAAGTTGTCTTAACAGGCCTTACGTCTTATTATACTAATGGCCTAAAACTCCTTAAACCCCTCAGCAGATTTAAACTTCACTATACAAGTACATTCGTACCACTGCCAGTAATACAGTAAAATTGAGTGGGTCAGGCTTTAGGATCTTGGTGAGCACATAGGGTTTTCAACCCACAATAATTAATTTATTTTCAATTATATATTTCACAACAAACAGTTAACCCGATTACTCATTCCCGTTATTCTCTCTCTTTGATCCTAGAATGATGATCTCAATGGACCTATCCTACAGGATCACTATAACAATGAGTAGACAATACTACATCGAAGATTCCTTAGCAATATATGTCAATAAGGCAACCATGAGGGGGGGGGGATAGAGTATTCGAATAAACACACAATACATACTCTCGGATAGCATGATTCATTAACACCTACATATTGCGAGTCTGCTAGTGTTCCACTGGACTATCTACAATAGTATGTGGTCGTCATCAATACTCTGCTAGATGACTAATCTCAGTTGTACAATGGTACAATGTTTGGGCATGGTCTCTCACCATTATATCATCTCTCTTTCTCTCTCTATCGTCTTAGTAGTACAGTAATACTATGTTGGGCATGGTCTCTCACTATTATCTCATCTCTCTATCTATCTATCTATCTATCTTAACCTTTTTTACCCAATACATTATAAGTATGATAAAAACACATATATGATTATTTCAAGAAAAATCATTATCTCATTTAACATAGATATCAGGAACACAGATAATAAGCACATGGGACATTTAAGCAAATTAAATACATGATATCTATGTGTAAGTTGAAAGTAACTATGCACTTACTTATTAAAAGTGGATGACTTGTGATTAGGGCAGACGCTTTGCCTAACATCTTAGCTTTTCCTTTCAAAATACATATATATGAATATCACTAAGTCTTAGTTTTATATATCTCGCGACTATAATAACGATAGTCAAGATTCCTCATTAATCCCAATGTCTACATCAAGATCTATCAAATAAGGAACAACCAGGTAAAATCATATTGAAGGTAGGGTCCGTTTGGTATATAGAGTATACTGACAGCTCACTAAATCTAGCCTAGACATCATTCCCGTAAGTAGATCAATCAGTATTATGACAGGAATCACTGATAAATCTTATTTATATATTCATAATAACGACTATGAATATAAATATAAGTAACATTTGAAGCATAGTAAGTGCGGCTTAATTTACAAAAATTCTAGCGAAAATCGTGAAATTACATGGTCAGAACTCCGATTCGAACACTTCTTTTCGTCGAGGTCCTAGGTATCTTAGGGCTCCACTAACATGCTCCAAAGACTTCGAAAAAGTCAGAATTTAGTAAGGAAAGACGTCTCAGAGAGAATGAGACTTGAGGTGTGAAAGAATGAGGCTTGATTTGTTGTTATTTATAGAAATACAGAGGGCGTCGTGCCTTCTACTGGGATCATCGCACCTATGCGGTGCTAACCCATTCGTTTCTTGCCACGTGTCGCTTGCTGATTCGTCCACAACCACCCCTTCTAGAAACTGCCACATGTCATCTTATTGTGGCATCACATGTGATGGGTTTTGAGCACTATAAAAATCCTATGGTGCACATACAACCCTAAATGCTTTGGATCTAAGTTTTCTCAAGTTATAGATGCAATTTCATTTTATCCAAAGCATATACCCAAGCTAGCATGCAATTGGAGATATACAACATAAAAACAAGTTAAATGAATATCTCTTTGTTGTAGCTTCTAGAACCTTGCCTTTCAAGAGCTTAGTACCCTCAAATGTGA